TGTCCATGTGAGTGTATGTCCCTGTGTCTGCATCTGGGAATATACTTATACTTACGTATATCCCTATGTGTGTGTGTGGCTAGTGGTGAGCTTGGTGTGTGGCCCTGTGTGTAAGTCTTGGGCTGAGTCTCTGTGTGTCCCTACATGTGCACATCTGTGTGCTGCCCATGTGCTACCCATGTATAAACTTGGATTTCTATGGGTGCACCTAAGTGTAGAGTGTGCATGCTGTATTTATAAGCACGGATATACTGAACTAATCAGACTTAGCTGCTGCTTGGAGAGTCTGGTCTGGCAGAACTGAAGTGCTTCCTTCCCAGAGGTCCCCATTAGGGTCATGTCCAAATTAGAAAAAGTCACCCTTCTGGAGGGGATCAGTCAAGCCTTGATGCTCCTGGCTTGTTAGTAGAACAGCATAGGCTAGATTTCAGTGACTTCCCCTGCCCCCAGGGAGCTGGGTACCCTGTGCAATGTACGACCTGCACAGCTGAATGTGGCAGCTGTGGGGCTGAGATAAGAAAGGCTTCTCAGAGGAGGTGGCTTGTGAGGTGGTTCTTGAAGAATCAGTGGGAGCTGCCAGGTAGAGAAAGGGACAGGGGAAGGTACTATAGGCAGTGGGAATAGCAAGAGCAAATGTGAGGAGGAAGAAAAGGTTCTGGTATGTTCAGGGGACCAGAGGGACTGGAGTATAGGGGGCGGAGTTTTTACCTCCTCAGAGTCCCCTTGGTCTCCCTCCTGTAGTAGAGGCCTTTGTATGTGTGTGTCTCTGCCCTCACCTAAGCTTCCCTCCTTCCCCACCCCCAGCTCAGCCAGACCCCTGGGCCCAATAGCCCCATCTTCCTGCCCAGTGACTCCGAGTGGGACTGGCTGCTAGCCAAGACATGGGTACGCAACGCTGAGTTCTTCTGCCATGAGGCCATCTCTCACCTGTTGGGGACCCACCTTATCGCTGAGGCCTTCTGTCTGGCTGTGCTAAGGCAGCTGCCCATGTGCCACCCCCTCTACAAGGTATGGACTTGGGCAAAGGGACCTCTGTGAAGCATACTGCTGTCACCTGGCTACAGAAAGCCACTGCTTGCTCAGCAGTCTGAGGGATTCTAGTTAGACTTGGGGAGACAGCTGGGTGCCCACAAAAGAGGACTTGGGATAGGGACTTTTCAAAGTGAAGGGGTCTGATGTTGCAAAAATTGGGTTCCGAGGTCCTTTTGGGGATAACTTCAGTTTTCTCTCATTGTCCTCCTTACTTTCTCTCACAGCTCCTCATCCCCCACACCCGATACACCATCCAGATCAACAGCATTGGTCGGGCCATCTTGCTCAATGAAAAGGGGCTCACCGACAGGGTAAGACTTCTGCCCCCAAGCCCAGCAAGATATTTGCTTTCCTTCTGGCCTTTACAGTTAGACTAAAACATGGACTTCTCACTTGCCTTTAGATCATGAAGGGGCATAGAGAGAGGGGACTGGTTAAAGTGGCTGCTGTGTCTACAAGGGCACTGAGGCAGGGGCTGGGTCTGCTGGCTGGCGTGTGAGGATTCCTGGGGCAGGGCAGGCTGGGCGGGGGGTTAAAGGAGCACTCGCTATGTGTGAGGCAGGTGTGAGCCTCAGCTGGGAGGATCTGCAGAGACTTCGCTAGCCCCAGTGTCTGCTTCCTCCTTGACAGGGTACATCCCTGGGCCAGAAGGGCTTTGCTGAGTTGATGGTTCGGGCTCTGTCAGAGGTGACCTACGACAGCTTCTACCTCCCCAATGACTTCGTAGAGCGAGGGGTTCAAGACCTGCCAGGATATTATTACCGCGACGACTGCTTGGCAGTGTGGGATGCACTGGAAAGGTAAGGTCGGGACAACAGTGGGTGGACACCCTGGGATGTTGGAGGTGGCATGGGGACCCTTTAAGTACCTGAGCTTGGGTCTGGCGCCATCTTCTGACCTTGGCAAGCCACCCCTGCCACCTCTGCCCCACAGGACTTGCTCACCCACAGGCCTGGGGCAGCTCTGGGGCAGGGCATTCTGGGGAAGGTGGGAGCAGCACAATTGGGGAGGTCAAGATGCATACTGAGGCCTGTCCTCTGGTCAGGTATGTGACAGAGATCATCACCTACTATTACCCAAGTGACGCAGCTGTGGAGGGTGACCCAGAATTGCAGTCCTGGGTGCAGGAGATATTCAAGGAGTGCCTACTAGGGCGTGAAAGCTCAGGTATGGGCCTGGACACACAGGCATCCAGCAGGGGCCTGGGGTTATGAGGTGGGCCCACCTGGGCTGGGCTGAAGCATGTCTTATTGAGGGCTGAAGGAGGCCAATCACTGCCCTAAAATTTTGACAAGGCCCTTCCTTGTTTCTTGGAGCAGCAGCATCTCGGAGAGGTTGGGAAAGAATGCGTGGCTGGCCATTGGTTCCTGTCTGAGCTCAGGGGCTTTGGGTCATCTCTGTAGAGACTTAGAGAGGTTCCAGTTCCCTACCCCAGAAATAAATCTTTGTGGACTGAGGAGCTGGTGGAGAGCTAGCAGGCTCTAGAAGGGAAGGAGAGCTCCTGAGGTCATGCCACTTGGGCACCCACTCAACAAGTATTTAGTGAGCATCTGTGATGTGATGAACATTGCTGGGTACTGGGGAGGCAAAAGGGAACAAGACAGGTGAAGGTGCTGTCCTCAAGAACTTCAGTCTTGGGGAGGGTAGTCTGCTCAAGTAAAGGGATAGTTACACTATAGCAGGACTAGCACAGTTTGTGGGGAGGATAAGAACCCAGAGGAAGCACCTAACCCAGCTTGGGGAGGGGTGGTGCATAGAGTGGAAGAGGGGTAGCAGTAAGCTAAGATTTAGCTGAGATCATAGCTAAGATCTGCAAGATGAGGAGGTTAGCAGTGAGATGGCAGAGGTGGGATTGGAGAGTTCTGGGAGCTGCTGACAGCTCCTTGCAACTAGAGCTGAGGGCGGGGAATTAGAGAGACTCCAGCTGGGGCTAAGGCTGAACTCATGAGTAGCGGCTGGGTTGTAAAATGATTAAGGAGTTTGGAATTACTCTGAGTGCCAGAGGGAGCTATGGAGGTGTTTGCAAGGAGATCAGATTTGTATTTTAGAGTATTAGGCTGCACTGGCAGTCAGGAGACAGTTTGGGAAGCTGCTGTAGTGTCCAAGGGGGAAGTGACAGGAACCCAGCAAGGGTGGGGGTTGTGGGGACACAGAGAATCCCAGAGAGAGTTGGGAAATAAAAATGACAGGACTTGGTGACTGGTTTGAGTTTGGCAATGGAGGCTAGGTTGGTGGAGGGAGGGGCCGAGGGTGAATCCGAGGTTTAGAGTTTTTGCAATTGGGTAGATGGCACGTGTCACTCCTTGATCTGGGGGCCTGACAGGAGGAGCAGTTTGGGGACGAAGATAATGGGTCTGGTTTGACTGTGTTGGACTTTTGGATCCTGGGGTCGCCATGGCAATCAGGGCTGGTTGTGTATGTGGGACAACAGGGAGAGAAGTTAGCAGCTTGGTTAGGTATGAAATCAAGAGTCAGGTTACTGAGAAATCCATATGAAGTGAGCAGAGTCTCAAAAGAAGTGTATGTATGACAGGGAGTGGATGAGGGGCTGTACCGAGTCAGGGCAGGGAAGCTAGGATTCTTCTAAAGCCTTTCCCCTGCTGAGACTTGGGACCAGAGAGGTCCCCCTAAGGAGCTGGAGGAGAGATCTGAGGGTCTCATCTCAGGCAGGTGCCTGGAGCAGCCCTGTAGAACATCTGAACAAGGCCAATTGAGGCCCCTCCCCAAGGCTTGTGCTCTGAACTGGGTTGTGGCCAAAGGAGGGCCAAACAGGCAGGATGGGGGCAGGGATGTGGCAGCCCGAAGTGTTGGCATGACAGTTTGAGCTGGGTTTGTTTGCGTCTTTTGCCGGTCAGCCAGAACCAGGGCAGGACTGATGCTGCCCAGGCCTTCTCTTGCCCCCCAGGCTTCCCCGTGTGCTTGCGAACAGTGCCTGAGCTGATCCGATATGTTACCATCATCATCTACACTTGCTCTGCTAAACACGCAGCTGTCAACACAGGGCAGGTACCTGTGCTCACCAGTCCCTGCCCCAATCCCTGCCCCAGACCTAACTTTAGTCCCAGTCCTAACTTCAAACCCAAGCTCCACCATAATCCCTAGTCAGGCCTAACCTGTCTCAATCTGAGTCCCAGCATCAATCCCAATCTTAATTTAAACTCGAGAGACCCTGGGTGCTCTCTGACCCAGAACCCCTCCTCTACTGCACCTCCAGCTGGAGTTCACCTCCTGGATGCCCAATTTCCCATCAAGCATGCGGAACCCACCAGTGCAGGCCAAGGGGCTGACCACTCTGGAGACCTTCCTGGACACGTTGCCAGATGTGAAGACCACATGCATCATCCTATTGGTGCTCTGGACACTCAGCAGGGAGCCTGATGACAAGGTGACCTGCTGCCTCAGGGTGCAGATGGGGGTGGGGGAACTCTGAGCATAGGCAGGGGGCCAGAAGCTAGGGGGCTAACAACAAGAGGCGGGTGTTGAGGGAGAAAGACAGGGACAAAGAGGCTCCTGAAGGGGAAGGGCAGAGGGGTGGGGGCCTGCTGTGTCCTAGCTGCTTGGTTCTGCGCCCGCAGAGGACCCTTGGCCACTTCCCTGACATTCACTTTGTGGAAGATGTCCCACGGAGGAGCATGGAGACCTTCCGCCAGCGCCTGGCCCAGATATCGCACAACATCCGCCAGCGCAACAAGTGCCTCCCCGTCCCCTACTACTACCTGGACCCCGTGCTGATCGAGAACAGCATTTCTATCTAGGACGGCCCTTCTCTCCTCACCATTCCCTGCCTTGCACAGAGCTATTTTCAGAAAAAACAAACAAACAAAAAAACCAAAAAAACCCCCACAAAAACCAATAACAAAAACACTTCAAGCAGAAGCCTTGGGTCTGTCAGTGGGCTTGGTTGTTTAGTGGATAGGAAGGTGCAGGTTAGGGGAGAGAAGGGCTGGCATCGCGGGACATGGGCAAGCTCACAAGGAGATGCTGTTCGCCACTGCAGGGTCTAGGCAGGTGTAGGGCAACAATAGGCCCCGGTTCGTTCCCTGATGTCCTGTGGGATTTGGGCCAGGTGGCTCTGGAAGGCAGTGATGCTCCGCTGAGGGGCTTCCTCATTGAAGTGCTCATTAGGGTAGGTCCCTAGGTGCTGCTGGGGATGGCAAAGAGAAGGCTGGGACCTCTACTCCACTGCGCCGTGACCCCATCTTTCAACCCAAAGCGATTCTGGTCGATCTTAAGTCCCCCTGCCTAGGCACCCAAACCACAGAGGACCCCAGTCCACCAGAAAATTCTCTCAATGAGACGCAGACCACCACTGGAGCCCCCACCCACCTAGGAACCTAGACCACCCAAGACATGTCCTACTTGAAACAAACCACTTAGCCACCTAGGTAAAAGCCCGCCCTAAGCCCAACCTATGCCAAACCCAGACCCATCTGAGTTCCACCTACTAGGAACCCACATTACCCCAATCCACACCCTAGAAACCTACATTACTCAGGGCCCTGCCCACGGAGGGATCCAGCATGCTAAATGCCCCTCCAAGTAACCCACTGTTTCCAGGACTCCTTCCTCACCCCACTCACTCTCCTGGACCCTGAGACTCCCTCCCATCCCCACTCTGGGCCTTGCTTACAGTATCCTTAGTTTCATTAGTGATACCGCAGACGAGCATGGCAAGTGGTTTTGATCTCAGGAAGTGAGACCACCAGGTCCGTCTGGCCTTTGGCAGTGGGTGGGGGGAGTCGCATGGTGGTAGGAATATTGGGCATCTAGGCACTGAATTCAGACTGACTCCTCACGCTCTGTAAGCACAGGACTGCCAATGCTCCTGCTAGGTTCACTCCTCCAAGGCCTGGCACTGGCTCACCTGGCCACTGTCGATAGCAGCATGGGACCCCTAAATAAGAGTAGGGTGGAGAGCATGGTGCTGAAACCGAAGGGGCTGCTGCCTTGGGGAAGTGGGGTCTAGAGGATGGAAGACTGGGATGGACACCTTACCTGAGCTCACGCAGCTTAGAAAACACTTCTGGAAGATCTCCCTGACCCAGGCCTGCAGCTTTGAGTCCCTGCTCACTGCATTGTTATTTAAGTAGTAGATGCCAACAATATCAGACACAAAGCTGGGAATCCAGAAATACATGGTGACTAACTGTTGGGAGGCTATGCAGCCCATGAGTGCAAGTGAGAAAAGCTGCTAAGAGCAGATGCCCCAAAAGGAGGAAACTGAGGCCAGAGAAGGAAAACGGCCAGCCACACATTGTATAAACCATTGAGCTGAGCTTCAAACCCGGAGGCTTCCATATTCACCAGGAGGTGCCAACGAAAGGCCTGAGAGCCAGAGATGGTTTGCAGGTGTGTTTTGATGGGCTGCCAAAGTTTTTTGTTTGTTTCTTTTTCAAATTGAATCAACAGCCAACATTTAAATATTAGAAAATGTCTAGTTTATCTTGGAAAATTCAAAGATCTGGCTATAGTCATAGCCGAGTTGCCATTGTCCCCATCAGAAAAACACGAGTCCTCCATCAGCCACAGTCCCTGCCCACTCCTCTTCCTTAGCTTTTTGCTGCTTGCTTGCCTTGCAGGCTTTTATGTTTCAGCCTTTCGAGCTAGATCAAGCCACAGGGAAGGGTTAGACACCAGGCCCCTACTTGTTGAGATTGGTGCATTGGGTCCATCTCCCCCACTGGTTCCCAAAGGGCAGAGCTGGGTTTGTCTTGCTCACCATGGTATCTACTCCCAGCCATAGCAGGGCTCACGAAGGTGGATGGATCCATTGCTAAGAAGAGTTTTGATACAGGCAGCTCCAGCTATGGGTGTTCATAGGCGGGGGTTCCCTGAGGTCTTCAAGGGCAGAAGGGGTATGAGCTAAGTTTGAAGAAGAGGCAGTAGTTGGATAAGGAGAAAGGGAGAAACGGGGTGCCTGGCTTTCCTAGGCTTAGTGTGTCCTGAGGAGGAAGAATGGGGAGAGGCAGTTTCCAGAAGGGCTGAGACGCCACGGTAAACACTGCATTTCATGTGGCAAAAAATGGAGCCATGTGAATCTCATGAGCAGTGCTGCCATAAATCCCAGTGCCTGAGGAAGTTTGTTATGCAGGTTAATGGCAGGAGATAGGAACCCACATCAAGGAGTTGGGGAAGCCAGACATTAAGAACACCTGGCCAACAGGGTGGTGGCCAGAGGTACATCCCATGGGATGTATTTAGGGGGAGAAAGATTTAGATGGAAAACTTGCAAACTTCATCTATGGGGTGAATACTAATAATAGCTAAAATCAGAGAGCATTTCCTATACACCTGAGGGTTGTTCATAGGGCTTTACATTTAATCTTAATAATAAGCTATGAGGTAGTTGCTATTATTATTCTCATTTTCAGGTGATGAAACAGACACAGAGGTTAAGTGACTTGCCCAAGGTTACACAGCTGGGAAGGAAGAAGAGGAGGCAGGAAAGGGCTTCGAGATGGTAGTGTGTTTAGGCAGAAGGTGAGAGGAGGTGGGTGAACAAGTCAACAAACATGTAGCCAACGGTGAAGCTCAGGGCCTCAGGCCCTAGAGGAGCTTCACCTCTCCATGGCCACCCAGACCTGGAGCACATCATCTCAGTAGTAGTAGTGGGCGAGATCCTGAACCTCACAGTCAGCCAATTGGTGGGGCAGGCAGAGGGAGCAGTAGGTGACAGCCTCTAGCCCTTTGGCGATCAGCTCCAAGCAGCCCACCTTTCCCAGCAATGTTGACTGTAACAAACAGAGAAGCCATTGTTGCCAGGAACAGGGGGCTCAGGCCCAAACCTCAGCGCACTCCTGGCTCCCTCTGCCAGGATCTCAGGCCTTCCAGGGCTCTGACCTAGTCGATGAGCTTTCCTGGTGCAAAGAGTCCAGTGCGGGTCTGGATATTGATGTGGAAGGTGTAGCAGAAATGAGGAATGAGCAGCTGGGGAGAACCATTGTCAGAGGTTAGATGAGGCAACCCCACATACCCCACAGATCTGATCCGTGGGAGGAGGGGTCCTTCCTACCTTGAAGATGGGGTGACACATGGGCAACTGCTACAACAAGAAGAAGAAAAAAAGTCTGTCACAAAGTCGGTTAAAAGCAGATGAGAGACTATCTTGTGCACCAGGAGCTCTGAGTGGTAAACTCAGATCTCGCTTGGCCAGGAGGCAGTCCTCAGCCCTGTCACTGGATAGGAGGATGGGGCTGTCTGGGCCAGGTGTCTGAGTGAGCTGAAGTTGGGGTAACAGGAGAGCGCGGGCATCGGGCAGAAACTGGCTACGGAAAGTGTGGCCCATTACCCTTTCTATGGGGCCACATCACACGGTCATCTCTCTTACTAGCTGTGTGTCCCCAGGAAAGTTAATTAACCTCTCTATGACTCAGGTTTCTCATCTGTAAATGAGATTGACGATGATGACCCCTTCTTCCTTGGGTTGTTCTGAAGATTAAATGAGGTAATGTTGGTGAAGTACTTGGAAGAGTGACTGTATGCAACAAGTGCCACATGAGTGTTTCCTATTGTGATCACTTCTAGTACAACAGGAGAGGAAACAGAGTTGCCGAGAGGTGAACTGACTTAAGGCCACCTCGCTGGCACATGTGGCAGAGCCTGCTTGAGCACTATGCTACTTAAACCAGTCAAAGCCATCCAGATTCTTAGTTGTGTGAGGCAGAGGAGGGAGGATGTGGAGACATCTCCCAGAAAGGGTTATGTTTTTAACTGTTGGGAATCATTGAACTGTCAAAGGTGCATGATTCATAGAGTTGATTTTGAAACCCATGTCAAGGTGCAATTTATTCTCTGACACTGAATATCACAACCTTTCCATCAAGATAGAAATCAAAATAGAAAACAGGAAAACTGGAAAAAACTAGGGAGGGGTGGATAGAATTAGATGAGACATGGTGTTTAGTACTCAGAATGGCAGCACTGGGAGGGGTAACCTTTCAGTCATCCTGAAGATATGATATGCCGTTGGGCCCCTGGTCCATCCAGGGCCCTGCCTTGCTGACTTGGATAGAGAGGATAGGCAGCAGGGGCCCACCTGGGTGCTGGAGTAGCAGGGTCGGTGGAAGGGGTGGGCAGCCACAAAGGGGGGCCCCTGTTAATGAAGTTGGGGCTGAGACCCAAGAAGATGGTGTGGTCCACCAGGTACAGAGATTCCCCCCAAGGGAGGGAGGAGGAGGAAGGCTGAGGGAAGAGAAAGCCCTGTGCTGTTCTAAGAACCCTTGGGAACGAGAGGGAGTTACTCTGCACCCACAAGTATTTCACTTAAAGGAACCTCATTCCCTGAAGCCAGTGGGGCATTCCAGCCCAGAGCCACCTTCTGGTTCCAAAGCAAGAGATGCCCACCGAGTATTAGAGGTGCTTCTGCTGTGCACAGGCCCAAGCTTCAAGGACAGATAAGTGAGCCCTGCTGGAGAACAGTGCCTTATAATACAGTAGGCACCTTTCTGGGGTTGAGCCACACCTCATCCCAGTAGCCCACATGGTGGGGAATAGCTGCTCCGGGAAACACTCAGCTGACCGACTGTAGAGCATCCTCAGGAACCATGACAACTGAGTTTCTGAGCTGTGGGGTCCTGCCAAATGCATGGAACATGGCAAAGTACCAAGAGAGAGAATTCCCCACTCAGCCCTGCCCCCTCATCCCTTGCCACTGCAGAACAATGCCTCTCCCTCTAGCGATGAGCAGGAGACACTGACACAGGAAGAAGCTGAGCTAGCTGAGAAAGGAGGATGGACAGGAGTGAGAGGAGATGAAGGGCACCAGGGCTGGGTAGGAGAAATGGGGTCTGAGGGACTGGGAGCCTGGGCATCTGGGCACCTGAAGGCACTGGGAGGAAAGGGAGGGAGGCTGGACCTCTGGGTCCCTCACTTCCAGCTTAGCCTTCAGTCTGGTTCTGGGGCCCGGCACGGAGGCCACCATGGCATCAGTGACAGGGAAGTTCTTTAGGAGGCAGTGACAGCGGCAGATCAGGACTGGGTTGAAGACATTCAGGAACTGGAAGGTGAAGAAGATGTCCTTCCACCAATGTTCAAACATAGGTGGGTGTGGGGAGGGTCCCCCTGGTCCCCAGGGATCCAGGTCCCCTGCCTCTAGCACTGTCATCACTCTGAGGACCCAGATCTCCAGCTTCCCAGCATGGTCAC